ATTTTTTTTTTTTTTTTTAGTAAAGAACTTGTCAACGTTTGGGGACAACAAGAGAGAAAGGACTGGAATTAAAAAAAAACTAAAATATGAGAGGTATCTGCCTCTCCACAATTTAGAGAAAGGAAACAAGTAGCTTGTCAACCTAGCAAGTTTGCTACACAGTTCTAACACTGTGTAAGTATATATATGGAGTGTTATTTCCACTGATGCAAAGTTAAATTAAAAGCAGTTCTACTTTTTGAAATGTCAATACTGGCTCATATGTTCTGAGAAATTTCACTCATTTAGAATACAGATGGTATGAAATCTTGCCAACATATCATTTCTATCAGTTAGAATTCTTGTTACTACCAACATTACCTGCAAAGTAAACTGAGGTTGCCACCTTGTGGTTTGGTAAATTATTACTACTATATTTACTTGCCTGGGAAGGTGACTTGCTCTCTCCCACTCAGCTTTTAAATGGGAGTATTGTACTAAATTTACTGAGAATATAGAATGGAGACAACACATTTCTCTTCAATGTTTTGTTAGGATTGGGCTGGAGATTCCTTAAATTCAGCCCAGCTGCCTTTGAGATAAAAACAGACTAAACACTGACTAAAGCTATCACAGCTGAGCCTAAAATGCAAGGTAAGTTTGAGGAACATTTTCAGAACTGAAAAGCATCATGCCCTGAAATTTATTTAAGTAAAAGATTAGTTTGTCCTGTACTAAACTAATATGGCATTTCCACTTCCCTAGTAACATCTCTGTGAATAATTCTGGAAGAAACTAACTGGAAGAAGAAAAATGGTAGAAGCAAATCCAGGAAATGATGGCAACAAGGAATTTTTTTCTTTGGAACTAGGCTTCCTCTACTTTCATTTCTAAAATCAGAATGGGAGAACATCCAGAAAAAGGCTTCTTGTTATAAACAATTTATAAATATTCATGTGCAACATTGGTGGTTTTTAGTCTTAATTATTCTCACATTTAAAATGATGTGCTTCATCTTTTTTTAATCACAACTCTGGGAATAGTACAATGTAGGGAAATTACACACATCTGTTAATTTTAGAAATTCACAGTGACTCACAGGTAATTTTTCTTCAACTTACGAAGTTTCTATATTATTAATAATTTTAATACAATAAATAAAGATGAGTAGTGTTATAAAGACTTAATAAATATCTTAATAAAACTATATTTTACTGCTTACTTGCACATAACTGATCATCTTTGCCACAGAGATACATCTCCATGCTATCTATCCATTTCTTTTATTGGTATTTGTCTCTGATACCTTGCATGTACTGTATATTGTTACCTTTGTACGTATGGTTGTACTGTACTGCACTTGAGACTCCTACATTACAGGAGACAAATTATTTACACTAATTCACATAGCTTAATACACAAAAACAGATCTAGTTATTGTATCTAATATTTTTTTTCTCTTTCTCCCAAAAATTCTTGATTAAAACAATAGAAGCTTTCCTACTTTGTCATTTCCAAGGACAGACAAAAATTAAAGGGAAAAAAGGGAAGACGTTTAAAAAAGGGGTTAGGGGATAGGGAGAGTATCTCAAACATCAATACAAAATATTTTATTATACTGAAGCCCAATGGGTTTTGGAAAATTCTTTTGTCAATGTTTTTTTTAGCTGGTAAGCACAGTTTTTGGCAGAAGAATTTTTCAAAACAATTGGGCTTCAATATAACATGTTGGACCGAAAGAAGGTGTCTGAGTCAGCGAGCTTTCATAGTGTAGGGTAGACTAGAACCTGGCTCTCCCTCCTCCTAGTCCAGCATTGTGTTTCTATAAAATAAAATACTTCCTACTGGCATTTGTGATACTCTCCCTGTTTTTTATAGCCTAGAAGTAATATCTAAGTTAAATATATTTATATAAATATGGATATGAATATGAATATATCCATATTCAAATTAATGCAATTATCTCCTAATAGATCTTAATATTATATTAAATATATTTATTAGCATCCAGAATACTGTGAGGATCCAAACAATTGTACTATGACTAAATATCTTTTGGGCAATAACTGCATTAACCTGAATATGGATTACAACCAAAGATTTAAGATGTTCCTTTAAGAAAGCACATTATTATATAATTAGACAGCCAGTACAGTGTAGTAATGAAAATGCTGGACTAGGAGGAGGGAGAGTCAGGTTCTAGTCTACCCTACACTATGAAAGCTCGCTGACTCAGTCACCTTCTTTCGGTCCAATCCAGCTCACAGGGTTGCTGTTGTGGGAAAAATAACAGAAGGGAGCACTGTGTCTGCCACCATGAGCTCAGGTACTGTGGTGGATAGCAACAGAGAGCAAGGCTATCAGGAAGGAGGGGGCACATTCCAAGAAGGGAAAGGAGAAAAAGACAACACACTTCGGAGATGGAGCGTGGGAAGCAGAAGAGGTTCAGGATAGCCACTCCCCAGAACCTCCCAGGATATATCCACTAGTTCCAATAGTATAGATTTAGTCTGGCAAGATTTTGTCTATATGGTATAAGTAAATAAAGGAACTGAACTCAACTGGGCCTGACAGGTACAGAAAAGCAGGATATAAATCTAATAAGTAAACATTCAGTTAGTATTAAAACTGCAACTGATCTAATGGGCCTGAGCTCCCTACTCCTACATTCAAATATACTATACAGCTGGTGAATTCTATCTACAACAGTCTGTGCAGTTTATTTACTATAATCTATTTATGATTTCAATTATAAGACTACCCAACTCATCAATGACTCTGTGTAAATTAAGCACATAATGATCTACCATTATTTTGATTATGTAGAATCAAAATACGTGTGTTGGAAGAGGTCTTATAAGTCATCTAGTCTAGTGCCTTGCTCAATGTAGGAAATCACTAAGCCATCCCCCACAGGTAGCCATCCAGCCCTAATTGGAAAATCCCTAGGAGAAGTCCATGACTGTTCTAGGCAGATTTTTCCAAGCAGACTGTTCCACTGTGTAAAAGCTCTTAGTACAAAATTCCTCCTAATATTTGGTCTGAATATCCTGTCTTGTAATTTTAATCTTTTGGTCCTTAGTTTCAGAAGAGAACAGATCCATTCCCTCCCGCATATGGTAACCTTTTAGATATCTGTAGACTCAGTGTCCTTTTTTGTAAACTTAACATGCTCCACAACTTCATCCATTCTGCACAGGCCATGGACAAATACCACTTACCGTTGTTGTAGCTCTCTTCTGAGTCTGCTCCAACCTTTCCAACTTCCCTTGAAGTGCTATGCCCAGAACTGGACACACTGTGACCAGTATTATATACAGAATATATAATAAACCTATTTTACTGCCTGTGATTTGGATACAATGTTACTATTGATACAATCCAAGACTGCACTGACCTTTAACTGCAATATCACACTGTTGATATATAGCAGGGGGTCCATTAAATCCCTAGAATCTTCTTACATACAATGCTATCAAGCCAAGTCTTCCCAGTCCTGTACCTAGACATTTTTTTTCCCTACAGAGATGCATGATCTTACATATCATTAAGATCATCCTGTTGGATTTGACCCAGTGTTCAAGTCAGCTGATGTAATTTTGAACCATTACTGAATGGTAATGAAATTACTAACTACTAATTTTTAACTACTTTAAAGAGCAATATTAAGATAATATAAGCAATATCTAATTTTGCAAGGTTTTGTGAATAAAACTGGTCTGCAAATAAATGAACAACTTTGCCAGGCTATGAATTTTCAGGATTTCTAGAATTGCAAACAGACATATTTTTTACCTTGAGACTATGCTAGATCCATTGTAGAGATCACTTGCATAAGACAGTGTTGCCAAAGGTCGAACAGAATTGTAGCGAGTAAACTTAGATAGGCACTCTTGAAATTCATCCAGCTGGGTTGAGGTTCTACTATCATCTACATGGGAGAAGCAGGGAGGAAAAAATGCAGTTTAAAATTTTTAGAAGGAAAGAAAAAAAGATAAACATAGTTTCAGTCAACTGCCGCTGTCAGTTTACAGATCAATTAAATACTAAATTTCCTTGAATCTGCAGGACTAGCCTAGAAATGGCTGCTTATTAGTCTATCAAGATCTGAAAACATATTTTGCAGTACACAGCAAATACAGAATTTAAGTCAGGGACAGAATACTTAAAAGATATACACAACCTTTCAACATCCTTTCCCAGCCTGATGCTTATCAGAAGATATAGTCTATAATTGCCATCCCCCCACCTCAGCCTGATTTGGGTATAGCTGGTACTTCTGTGGAAAATACATACAATGTAAAAGTACTCTTCTCTTATTTTATCTAATTCTAGATCCCTTAATAAAACTAGGATATATTAGTTTGAGAGGGAAAATAACTCTTTTCAACTATTTAAGACATGAGAAAAGCATCATCACTGACAAACTTGCTGCATCATAATTCCATACCCATTTATATAATATGAATAAAAATCCCAATGGATGTTATAAAATATACTCTAAGATTTAAACAAACCACTTTTTTATCACAAGCCTGGGGTATAATCAGTGTAAAACTCAGGTGAGTTATTTAGTACATAGGATTAGATCAGGGCAGTGGGAGACAAGGACATGTCATGAAAAATGTCTGCACTGGATGTTGAGAAGACTAGGTAGTCTGTGGAGAAGTGAGGAGGGATGTCCCATGATGTGAACTATAGAAGAATTGAATTACATTGGAGTGGAATTCTAACCATATAGAAGGAGACTGAGGTGTGACAAGTCCTTGAAGTAAACATAAAACCTACAAACAAAAGCTCAAATATTTAAAGAAAGAGTACAGCCTTGAGATTTATACAGAAAAAATGGAAGGGGAAGAGAGAGAGAGACAAAGAGATGGCTCGCTTAGGGCGAAGAAACATCATTTTGAAGCAAACACTAAAGGGGAATATATGAAAGGGATGAATCATACGAATATAAAGTTCTGTCTTGACAAGGAAGAAGATGATAAGAATAGAGGAAAAAAAAAATCAGGCAGAGACCAGATAAATTACAAATCACAAAACAGAAAAGAGAGTAATATTATGGCTGCAGATGTCTATTATCCTATCCTATCCTATCCTATCCTATCCTATCCTATCCTATCCTATCCTATCCTATCCTATCCTATCCTATCCTATCCTATCCTATCCTATCCTAACCACAGCAAACTACTATGCAGAACAGGAAAAGGACATTGGGAAGCACGATAAACCACTTTATTCAAAAGCTAACAGGCATTCTACCTGATAGTCGAGTCATCCTGGTGGAAAAGTAGCATTGTTCCAAATCTTCAAAATGAGCTGTAAGTCTCTTCCTCCTTGAAGCTAAGGTACTATTATACGATGGCTGTTTCTTAGTCTGAATGAAGGAAAAGTGAAGAAAACTATTTTCATAAATCAATTACTGTTGATGGGAGGGCATCTACAAAGTTTTGCAAATGTTCCGTTACTTTACCAAAGAAACTTCAAGTATTTGGAACAAAGGGCCCAAATTTAGGGAACAAGTCACTGGGGGGTGGGGAGTGGAGGGAGAGGTCAGTCTATATTTGCTTTTAAATACCAGGAAGCTGAATCATGTACATATATTTGCTGTTTATGCACTGCTACCTATACTGCTTTTGACAAAGGTTTTCTTTACTCTCAAATTAATTTTGAGGTCAAATGCTATAGAAAAGCAAATTTTACATTATTATGTGATTGATGCAAAACACTAATCAGTAACATAATTTTAAATTGACAAGTGAAAACATTTCTAAATGTGCAGTTAAAATATTAACACTTTAGAAAATGTAACTCACTGTGGGTAAGATCTAGTAGAATGTTCTGTATTTCACACACTAATGTCAAAAAGCTACAGGTTTTCCTCAGAGTAAGTTCCATTTTTATTTCAGTGAGAATTTTTTACAGTAAATTCAAACAGATTACAGAACTCCTCACATATATAACAAGGAATCAGATCGCTTTTTTCCTCCATTTACAATATTGTCTTAAAAAACTTGGCAATTGGCGGGGAACACCTTATTACCTCTCCAAGAAGAAGAGAAACAGATACCACTGTTGGGAGGGCATGCAGAAATAACTTCCTCAAGAAGGAAAACAACACTGACTGGTCAAGATACGAACAATGACAAGACAGAAGCTAACATATATACACAAGGCATTATTTGCATCACGGGGCAACAGAAAAAACAGTAATTTGAGAAATGGTTATTTCACCAGGAATTTGGAAGATAAGCATTTCTTAACCTTCCTCTATTCACTCTTCCATAGCACAATTATTTGGATCTGAATCTGGGTTTCCTATATTCATTTTTTAAATAAAAGGGTTCTTTGAAAATAGTATTTTGCATCCAGGTTAGCAAGCCATATGCCTAAACTTTTGCCTGAAATGTTATTGCTTATTTTTGTTTACAGATCCTTTAAGCATTTAACATACTGCAAAATTTTAGCTGTTTTAATTTAATCCTTGAAAAACAGAACCAATATTTCACTGAAAATACTTTTAAATATTCAGAACATCCCAGATTCAAAAAGGTATCTGTGACGCTTGTCCCCTTTCCTACATATATGAAGATTATTCTTACCTGGGAACTGCCACTAAATCCAGGAGGTTGGCTATATTCTGTAGAATCAATAATGCTACTGTAAAAATAAAGAGCAGAATATGCATGAACAGTAGTTAATAACAAAAAAAAACTTCTGAGTTTTAATTTCTCTAATAGTATGACTAAGAAAAAGGATTTTATTCGGACTTCTTAGAGGAAATTTAAACACCTTTCCTAGTCTTTTTGGAGATGATGAGCTTGAATACAGCAGTCCTACACTGATGTGTAGGGTAGAGAATCAAGTTGCATTAAGTATGGTTGTCAGCAACGCAACCAGCTGTAATTTTCCAGAGGTAGAACTTGGTTGCTGAAGTGAATGGAGTCTTTTTGCAAGTAGAGGCTCTTTTTTGTGAACAGGAAAGCATCTTTGTTCATCTTACTCCCTGCCATGCACACTCAAGCCATTTGCAAATATCAGCTTATGACTCATAATACAATCATTTTCTATTAATATTAGTAAATATTAAAAACAACACTCTGACAAAGATAGGCCTGGGAAATGGCTGACACAGTGGGTGTTATTACAAAGCCCTAATTTTATTAGAGGCCCAATCATAGCAATCATTTAAGTTTTTCCTGATCATGTTGTATAGTCCTACAAATAAAAACTAGTGTTTGTCTCTGGGGAGGTGTGCATAATTTCCACCCTTCATTTTTTATTTTCTATTTTATTTTTATACTCCTGAGGCCTGGGTGAAAAAGAACATGATTCTAGAAGTTGATGCTTTGCTTTGTCACAAACAAAAATACTTTTAATTTTATTTTTGTTTAAAATTAAAATTATTTTTGAAAAAATGTAGAGGCGCATATGGGCATTACACTGGGAATTCAGGCCAAAACTTGTTTGAAGGAATTTAGAAGAATGGAATGGGAATGTTGCTTCCTGAGGATTTTTTTTTTAACCCATCTGCTCTGCACTGCTCCAATTTGCTTTGTTCCAAGTCCCCTTGTGGGAGATAATATATCTTTACATCTTTTCTCTTTAAAAGAGACACAAAGAGTTGATGCATCTAGCTAAAACATTATCGTAAACACTAGGTTGTTCTCTTACTATAATCTTTGATTTGCACACTAAAACAATGGGGTTCAACACTGTGGCTGAATGCATAGATCGTATAAAGTCCTAAATTAGGTCTGCGACTTCACATACTGCCAGCCCTACAAGATAGATCAGACCTGGAAATCAACTCCACAGGAAGGCTAAAACTACTTTTATTGAGATTGGCTATGATAACAGTCTTGCAAGTCTGATTGTGTTGTACCTCTCTTCCCTCATATAATCCTTCTGAATTAGGGAGATGTTTGCCTGAGCCGCTTCTGAATGTTATCTCATCACATGCCTAAAAAATGCTTCAGTCATTTTTGCCTGGGCAACAGATCCTGCAAATGTCCATCAAGATCATCTTCCTTACTCCCAACACATGCTTCTTTTGCTTATCCAATGATAGACAGGATGGTGCAGGGCAAAGGTAAACGAAGCTGCTAAAGTGAGGGGTTTTTTTCTTGAGAAGTTTTGTACACATCCAATCTCTGTCTGGTATTTGGTTGACACCACAAAATCCTGTCTAATATTTACTGTTGTTCTAAGACAACAAGATGTATTTCATGGCAATTAAAGCAACAAGATCCTGCTGTTAATATCCTAGACTACATTCCCATATTATGCATGACCTGGATGTATTTTACTGTACTTAAACTGAACTGAAAACAGTTGCCAATCTACAAATATAACTGCACAGTGCTACAGATTTAGAGACAAAAAGGTGCTTCAGACTGCTCATGCAGCATTTGTCTGCAACTCTTTAAACCAAACCCTTGTTATGGGATTGTGGGGTAGTCATCCGCACAATCTCAATAAAAGACTATGGTTTTAAGGAACTGTAGAGAGGTGTTATGTTCATACCATCTTGTCTTCCTATCCAATGTATCCTATGGACAATTACTTTGCTAACGACACAGGCTAGGTTAACTTATGAGGATACCTTTAACTGAGGTGATCTCTAATTTGTGCAGAAAACAGGTTAAAGAAGGACATTAAAGCAGTTCCAGAGTGCTCTAACTTTGGACTTTTGTCCACTACCATGTCAAACAGGTATGGAAAGCACTGATTTTCAGAAGCAGAAACATAAGAAATAAGAAGGAACAAGACACACACACACACACTCTTGCTATGCAAAATATTTTCTAAACAGCCTCATATTTCTGAATCTAATGACAACTATCAGAAGCCTGAATTTTTTCTGATCCTATCATTTTTAGATAGTCTGAAAATTGAAGGTGCACTGTCACTGAAAATAAATTTCTCTGTTTCTCTAATCTGCTAACTTCCCTACACATCTTAACCATTCTATGTATTGTTTCAAATAAAAAAGTTACATTTTTATGTTATAAAAATGTCAGATAACACCCCCCCCACACCTCTAATTCTCTACATTTTCCTTTCTTTTTTTTAAGCCTTCCTATTTCTCATGGGCTTGTAGGGATTCTATGGAGTCATATACCTTAAAGCTAACTGCATGCAGAAAATGGCAGTGAAGTACTGTCAGTCAGTTTACTGCATGCTCAAACATTCAATGCTGTTTCCATATACAGGTAGTCCTTGCTTAATGACACTAATTGGGACTGAAAACTCTGTAGTTAAGTGTCTTGATCGTAAGTTGAAAAACCATGTGACTGTGTCACATAGAGGTGGCAGTTCCAGTTGTCATTGTTAAGCAAAGACCATCAGGTCATTAAGCAAGTGACTGCGACTTGTGACTTCCTGCCAGCTTCCCCACTGACTTTGCTTACCAGAAGCCAGCAGGAAAGGTCACAAATCACGATCATGGGACCATGGGACACTACAACATCATAACTGCAAGTCGAGCACCTGGATCACGAGCACAAGACTGCGGAGATGCTGTGATGGCTGTATGAGAACCGGTCATAACTACCACTTGTTCAGCACCGTCATAAGTTTGAATAGTCATTGAACGAGTGGTTGTTAAATGAGGACCACCTGTAATGAAAATAAACTACTGTTCCTAGTAGGTAAATTTACTGATATTTTAAAATTCTTTGCTATGGGAGGTTAGATTTTAGTGTAATGTTCCCTAAATATGAGTTGTACTTTCTTTTAAAGTGATGGTGCCAAATATAAAAGTGTATCCTCCACACATGCATTACAGACGTTGTGGTATTGAGCTTTCAAGTTTCCATATAGCACAGAAAATATAGTCTAGAAACATCTATGTTGGCTGGTTTGTTTGTTTGTTTTGAGATTTACAAGCAAATTGTCAGCTGTAAAATATTCATGTGCAGTACAGAAAGAGTTGCTATGCTGTTGAGTTTTCTAAGTGCCAAAATAAAATTACAGGAATGTCAATGTTTTCTTCAAAATAGTTGTTCTCTCTTTTGTCTATTTGTTTCTCTTAGCCTTCAAAGGACATAAAAACTAAAACACAGAGCTGCTACTGACACAATTAACTTTTGGTGTTACTACTATCCAAGAGGAAGGCCAATGGACTATATAGGAATGAGGAATGCATGCCTCTGCCGAAGTCACGAATTAAAATTCTTAGCTTTTGCATACAGCACAGCCTGTGGTGAAACATCCCAGAAGTTATAGTTTTACAACATTGACAGTGCTATAGGTTTGCCACCTTTGTACTATGTAATTTCTATCAATGTTTGCTTCTATATAAACTATGCTTTAAGACAGGTTAATATGGAGTGCAGTAGGGATGGAAAGGGGGGAAAAGTGGTTTACCCCAATATTTTATCCTATGTATTCTGTGCACATTTAAAAATGGTTTGAAAGATTACTTTGAACTTTGAGTGAGTACAAGCACAACACCTTTTACCAGTAAAACAGACATATTTTTCAGGGATTCACACAAACCATTGAACGAACTTATAAAGCAAGAGGGTCTTTTTTTTTAGATTTGCATGGAAGTCTGAAAAAAAGGATGATAAACAGCACACAGGTGCTATGCTTGTTTAAGTTCCAAGCACTTCTTCTAAATCATTTGCCAAACATACGTATATCTAATTCAACTGATATGTGGTTACCTGTGTGAAGGTGAAGGAGCTTCAAACTGGGGCACGGTGCTGTCTTCACTGACTGGTGAATATAAGCCACTCATTTCCTGGAATAAATACAGAGCCACACTGCAACTAAACAATATAACATTGATATCCTTTCATTAATATCAAATGTTTCTATCAAAGTATTTGATTATTATGTGCCATCAAGTCATTTTTGACTCTTAGCAACCACATAGACAGATTTTCTCCATCCCTAACCTGGTCTTTCAGGTCTTCCAATGGTGCCCCAGTCACCACTGTAACTGAGTCCCTCCACTTTGCTGCTGATCGTCCTTTTCTTCTCTTTCCTTCCATTCTTCCCAGCATTAGAACTTTCCCCAGAGAGCTAGGTCTTTGCATATTGTGCCCAAATCAAAGTATTACTATACTCATTTTTATTTCAGTTATTTTCTCCTTTTATATTATAACAGAGCAATACTGAAACTTATTATGCTTCCTTCAGGTTTTACTGAAAAGGAGGCCAGAATTAAAAGCTCCCATCTGAGCTACTTAAAATCAGTCAAAATAGGCCAAGTCAGCTATTATCATTCAAAATGCAGAAATGTTAATCCATGAATGCATTTATAATTAATGTTAATACAAGAATTCAAGTTAAATAATACCAGAAAATAAACAGGTTTACTTAGTTTGCTGATATTTACAGGGCAGGCTAACACAATGAATTAACACTTAGCACTCTTACATTAGGAGAGTCACAGACTGAACTCACACATCAGTGTACCCTTCAAATCACTCTAAAAAAAATATCCAATACTCAAGACCAGATTTGGGCACGTGTGGAAGACTGCAGATGAAAGAGAAAAACCCATTCTGCTGTTGAACCACACTGTTGTCATCAAACACCTTCACAAGGTGTTTTTCAGAAACCTGAATTAGAAATACTGCTTTTATTTTTATCGTTTTTTGCACACAAGATAAATACCTCACAAGCTTAGGAAAGTTTAACTAGGCAAGTCACATCTTTGTCACCGGAAGAAATGTTCATTAGCCCATTTACGTGCCTCCTTAATGGGTGTCTATAATAGTAATTTTTCTGTGATGTAATCTTATATGGTTGCATTTTGTATGTAGATATCAATACCATGTAGGGAAGACTGGTCACATGGGTCTTTCCAACTAAGACCCTATGACTTTCTGACGTGGCTGCAAAATGAACACGCAAGATTCATATGCATATTTCAATCATATGGGATCATGTAATGTTGATTGAACATCTCACCATCGCAGCTGCATACAAGGCTGAAATTGCATACAAAAGGTATTTATGCTATCACTTTTAAAGCTTTCAAATAATCCACTGGGACTATTTTATTGTTGCTTTCTGGAACAGTTCTGAGTGATGCTCATTGGCTAAAGCTTGATACTTGGCAGCATTATTTGTGGGCTTATGGTAAACCCATAAAAAGTTAATCCCCTACCTTTACACTTGCCATCAAACATGATACCATCAAGACAGTTTGATACAAATTAAAAAAAAAAAGCTGCTTGTTGCAACGATTGTGGAGAGCCTCACCTCTACTCGTTTAATATCTTCTTCCAAAACACTCAACTCCTTCTGAATTTGCTCTAACTGCTGTACATAAAAAAAGATTTTAAAATATAATTTATACTGGCAGTACTATCATAAATTATTTCCTATAGAAAAAGAGATTGTGTGTACAATAAATGGGAAAAGAACATGTAAAATTATAGTAATGTATTTTCAGATATGCATTTTACCAGTAGACCAGATTAAAATAATGTCAAAATGATGAAATACAGTCAAAAACATTATGTTCCTCACCCTCAGTAATAAATGTGCTCAATGTTAATAAACAGAATTTGCCTTTCTGAACAGCCAATTAAAAAAAACAAAAACAAGTATACTTCAAGTAATTAGGAAGTCACTGATAATCTAGCAACAACTGGTACTGAGACAGTATGTATGGTGGAATACATCTTTACTTATTTTAGGACACTAGTAAGCTAATTGAACTCAATTGAAATTGCGTTTGTTTAACAATACGCACGCTGTTACTTTAGAATTACCAAAATGACAATGTTAACTTGCCCCAGTATCTTTGAAAACATACACTGAATCACAACTCTGTAATATCATAATAATCTCAATGAATCAGTAACAACTGGCACACTGCCTGGAAAACAAGAAAAAGGTGTATAAGCATACTTATTGTATAAGCATACAATATTAAATTACTGTATAAGCATACTTGTATCAGCCGCTAAACAGCTAACTATGACCTCAATGTGATTCCTGTTGAAGAGGTTTCATGCAATTCTCCACATCTTTAAACTGCTTCTTGAGAAATTAGATTTCTCATTATTTATTTTTAAAGAAGTATCTAATTCTTATTGCTCTACTTGGAAGAATGTGGTAACAGCTAGTGAAAACTCAGAGGCAGAAGGATAGATGAGTGAGTTTTTTATCTAAATACGTGGTGAGCTTGTATTTTAAACATCACAGACTTGCATGTATAGGTTGTAATAGGGAAATCCAGAAAAGAAATACACACTATTTTAAAACATGTAGGATTTTTAAATCTATGATGAGTTTTAAATTTTAAAATGTTCAGTGTAAAAGTTGAATTCTTCATTGCTTTTCCCACCTCTCTGTAGTGTCGTGCAATTCTCTCAGCAAAGAGATAAAGTTTAGCTAAAACACTACATGGGGTGGGGTGGGGTGGGGGTTGTTATCCGGCCAAATTCATTAACATATAAGCCAAAACTGAAAGCTAAGCTAAGAAGACTAAAGAAAAATGGCATGGTAGAAGGAGAGGATTAAAGTATTTTGCTACAATGCAAAGATTACTCCAGGTCTATACCAACTTAAAGTGGTGGTAAAACCATTTATTTCTAATATATATCCACAAAAGATTAGTTTATGGCTTTAATTAGTTTTCTTACAAGCAATCTGTATCTCTAATAGCTTGCATTACAGGGTTCCAGGTCAGAGCCTAAGAGTTAGGCTCTGAGATTTGAACACTAAGAGATAGACGGAATTGGCAAGCCGGGGAATTGAAGTTATTACCTCAAATTATTGCCTCAAATAATGCAAACACTTATAATCCAGGATTAACCCCTCTATACTTTAGAATACATAACTGTACATTTAAAACATCTGGCATTATGAACAGTTTTCTGCTCCATGTGTAATACTGTACCAGATATATTTGTAATTAGTATAACTGTTCTTCCTTAGAATAGACCTAATTACAGTATAGTCATGCCTAATTTAAATCCCATTGATTTCAGTGAGGGTCTTCTTAAGTATGGTCAAGTACAGATCCAAGTTCAATCATTCTTCCCTTATTTAACATTCTTCCAACATAAGAGAATATGTGTAGCTCAGGGTTGAACTGTGGAGTCCTTGCGGTTCTCTGAGCTTGGATGTTTTCTTGTAA